TTAGCCTCACACTAACCTTCCTTAATTGTCGCTAACAAATGCATGGCCGTTATAGTGTTACTATTCTTTGCTTCTCTGAGAGAGAAACTGGTGTAGGTTCTGTGGCCCCATGTGGGGGGGGGGGGGGGGAATAGACCCACTGAACCCTTTAGAAACATGTAATGAAAGCCGACTAATAAGGTGTGTTTCCTTTGAGGTCAGAATGCTTCTCCATGAGAGGCAAAACCAACAGTCTGCATACAAATAAGACAGATCTGTAAAACAGAAGCGCATGCAAAACCCAGATCTGGAACAAGACCAAAGTCCAGAAAAGGGTGAACAACCAGGAATTTTTCTACTTGAGTTTACAGCCAATAAATATAAAGAAGGAGAAAAAGAAGAAGACGAAGAAAGATCCTGGTAGCATATGAACAGAGAGAGATATCTGTATGAAGCTAGTCAGCTAATTTACCTCATGCTCTAACCAACTCACATGTGTAAAATAAATTTCACAGGTGAAAAAAGCAATAGCCCAGAGATAACACCAGAGAACAGAAACACTGAAAGCTAAAGGCAAACATCAAATGTTTTTCCATGTCATGAAGCTGAACTGTCCAGCTCCCACTATCTAGGTTCTCCCTGCCTCTCTTTCACTTTAATTTTCCTGCTGTCACGTTACACTTCAGTTATTTTCTTCTAATGATGTGCTTAACCAAAGCCTGAAGTAGCCAGCCACAGTAGTCCTAAATACGAGGCCCAACAACAAAGTCCATAAGAAACCCCCCCCCCCAAAAAAAAAAAAAAAAATTGCACGTATTAATAAAACAGTGGTTTAAAAAAAAATTTTTTTTATATACTAGCAGTACACAGCAATATGCAATTACGGCACTTTTCCAATGCTACTGTCAACCACACAAAGAAAAAGACATTTCCAGTTACGGAGTGCTATACATGTGTCTCCCTAAAAGCAAACAAAAATCTACTTCATTTATATATCAACTGTTAACAATTGTGATGAATGCTGTAACTTTGTTAGCCTTATAGTTAAACATGATGCTGTTAGAGAAAGTATGCAACCCAAGCTAGATATTTTGTTAACAATATCCGCTGTTTTATGAAACTCAGGCTCTTGTGACAATTTACTTTTTTTTTTTTTAGCAGTCTGTAAACAAAATCTATCACTAACTTTAACAAGTCTGTTAATAAAGTCTAATACATTACTCAAACTGAAGTTTGCTATATTGTTAACAATCACTCTAAGTATACTGCTAACAAAATCTATCACAAACTTTAACAAGTCTGTTAATAAAATCTAATACATTACTCAAACTGGAGTTTGCTATATTGTTAACAATCACTCTAAGTATACTGCTAACAAAATCTATCACTAACTTTAACTAGTCTGTTAATTAAATCTAATACATTACTCAAACTGGAGTTTGCTATATTGTTAACAATCACTCTAAGTATACTTCTAACAAAATCTATCACAAACTTTAACAAGTCTGTTAATAAAATCTAATACATTACTCAAACTGGAGTTTGCTATATTGTTAACAATCACTCTAAGTATACTGCTAACAAAATCTATCACTAACTTTAACTAGTCTGTTAATTAAATCTAATACATTACTCAAACTGGAGTTTGCTATATTGTTAACAATCACTCTAAGTATACTGCTAACAAAATCTATCACTAACTTTAACAAGTCTGTTAATAAAATCTAATACATTACTCAAACTGAAGTTTGCTATATTGTTAACAATCACTCTAAGTATACTGCTAACAAAATCTATCACTAACTTTAACAAATCTGTTAATAAAATCTAATACATTACTCAAACTGAAGTTTGCTCTATTGTTAACAGTAAGTATACTGCTAAAAAATCTGTCATATTACCTAGCTGATGCCAACTTCATGGTCTATTAACATAATAATCCAAACAGATTGTTAATAAAATGTATCATTTTACCCTAACTAGATGGCCGGTAAACAAAATCCATCACATCCCTTCAGCTAGACTTAACAATACCTATCACTTCAAATAGACTTAATAAAACCTATTTCTTCACTTCAACTAGACTGTTAACAAAACCTATCCCTTCACTTTAACTAGACTGTTGAAAAAAAACCTATCCCATCACTTCACTTGGACTGACTGTTAACAAAGCCTATCCCATCACTTTAACTAGACTGTAGACAAAACTTATCATATCACTGTTAACAAAACCCATCACATCCCTTCAGCTGGATTTTTTAACAAAAGGAACTGGATTTTTAACAAAAGAAACTAGATTGTTAACAACATCAATATCACTCTAACCAGTTAACTAAATATACCACATCACTTCAACCCTAATTTTTTTTTAAACAAAATCAGTACTACAAGGCCCTTAAAAATTGTGAGACAGGCATTTTGTACTAAAAAAAAAAAAAAAAAAAAAAAAAAAAATCTGATAAATTCTAGACAAATAACTGGTTATCAAAAAGTCATCAAATGAGCAGTGACAAAATGTCAGAAGAGCAATGAAAAGGACTCCACTGTACAAAAGTGGTTAAAGCTGATGTGCCCATGCACAGATGATGAGATAATTATGATGGAGTGGTTTTCTTCACATCTCAGAGGGCATTACCAACACTTTCTGAAGGCAAATCTACAGATGTATAAGTATTACCAACATAGATGAGATCATTTCTGAAGGCAAATCTACAGATGAATGAGTATTACCAACATAGATGAGATCATTTCTGAAGGCACCAGTAAACTTTCACAGCACATCTCCAAGGAAAAATGAAAATGAGGCATCAGGGTGTGACCAGAGGGTCTGGCCGGCTCACTACACTCAGGGAAAAGGCAAGATGGACATATAACCAGATTGTGACCGGTTCCATCAGTATTGGAACTCTGCGTTGGCTGCTGAAGATGAGGACGGAGCATGCAGGGGAACGCCTTGTGTGCTGGGATGTCAATTCTTAACTCATCTCCACGGAGCTGTCAGTAAACGGTCAGATGGCATCTCTACAAAGGGCATATGTAAACTTGTATACATGTAACTACTATACCAAAAAGGGACAGAAACTTGTATAGACAGTAGCAATTTATGGGCATCTCTCTACAGGTGGCATCAAAAACTTGCACAGAAAGTAACAATTTAGGTGCATCTCTCTACAGGTGGCATCAAAAACTTGCACAGACAGTCATAATTTATGGGCATATCTCTACAAGCAGCAACAGGAACTTGTGCAGAGGTAACTATTATACTTGAAAAAAAAAAAAAACTTTTACAGAAAGTACAACTTGGAAAACATAATTAAAGTGTGAAGGACATCCTTTTTTTCTGGCAGTTTGCAACAGTACACAGTACTGGCACCTTTTCTGAAGCATTTTTCTTCTCAGCACTGCTATAATAGATCAGTTACTTTGTGGTCACTACCAGCACTCCGTTTTTAATTTACCTTGAAGTGAGTACTTGCGCCTTTTTTATTTGAAAACAATCCCTGTGCATCAAGACATAACTCTTTTTATCTGTCTAGGGTATTATCATCATTCGTCTATAAAACCACACCTCCATAGCTTCCAAATAATATTTTACTAATCTACCAACTGCTCATGATTCACTTCTGTATATCAAGAGAGGATTTAAGAAACCTTTAAGAATTCTCTGTCTTGTCTCAATGACTTACTGCAACTGCTATAAAGGAAATCACTAGTCCCTTCCACAGGACACCAGCATACTGTCAACATCAAGCATCATTGACAAGTGTAGAGGGCACCAGTAAACATAAGAAGGCACCACTGAATAAAGGGCATCAGTGACCTACTACAGGCACTTAGCAACAACATCAAGCTTTTTCTTCTTCTGCATTCACCTTTAAAAGGGGCAGATGACATACTGTAATGTGGTTTACAGCTAGGCTGTGATATGTGTGCCATTTGGCTTAACACATACGACTTCAGCAAAGTCTTCATTAGTCATCTTTTGTGACATTCTTAAGTGGCAGTGAGCCTCCCCCCCCCCCCCCCCCATAAGACCAAAATGGGGCCCTGGAATCCGCACAGGGACAACATAATTCAATGAAAGTTATCAAGACCTATGGATCAACATTACAGGACATGTGTGGAGTGTGTAGGAAGAGAAAAAAAAAAAAAAGATGTAATGAAAATAAGAACAGACCCAATGCTTACAGTAAAAGAATGTCATTAATAAGAGTCTTCTAGCTGGGAGCTTCCTTTGAAGTCGGATTGCATCTGCCTGAGAAGAAAGGAACTAACAGCCTGCATACATATGAGTTAGATCTGTAAAATGGATGTGCATACAACACTCAGGTTCTTCAACAGGACTAGAGTCCAGATGTAGATGAACAACTAGAACTTTCCACTAGAGTTTCAGCCTGTGAATGTGAAGAAAAAGGCATCTGAAGGATACATTTTAACCTAAAATTATTGTAGAATAGAAACATGCCACAAATTATTGCAAACTTGAGCATTAATGTGAAATATAAATGCAGATGTGAGTACAATGGCCGCTAAACACATTTTTGTCAACAGGTTTTTTTTAAACACAAGAGTTAACAATGTTTCTAAATTATATGGGCCTCCACACAATTTCTACAAGTCAAACTGGCACACAATAATCATTAATTATTGAAATTGGCACACAGTTAAATAGGGAAAATGGCACATTGCTTAGCAGTTGTGGAAACTAGCACACGACTAACTAACTATGGAAGCTCAATAAATACTTTGTTATTCTAGACATGATGGTTTTTTAAAGACAACAAAACCATCACCAGATTTCAATTTTATATCAAGGTAGCCTGGAAAATGCAGGAATCAAAGACCTCACCCGTAAATTTCACAGCAGACTGTCAGGGTGGATTGATGCTGCTTTACTTTGGGTTTTATTCTGCAAAACTCCCTGGTCAGCGAATTGCTGCCATTGCCTGTTGCGGACATTGCTTTTCTTCAACTATGCCAGTTTGCCATGTTCAGGTGAGATCATACTTCTGTTGTGGTCTTTACCTGACATGATCGCCATCAGAGTTGCCATCTTGGGGTACAGAACTGGCGACTGCCTCGTGTGGCAGAATTTCTTGCCTTGCTCCAGCAGAACTGATGGCAGGGGAGAAATTCTTGCTGTCTGGCACATCAGCTGGCTGAGGGTTACCCTGTGTAGATTCTGGAGAATGTGGTCCTTCTTTAAATACCTCGTTGTCCGAAATTACTTTTAACTTGCCAACAGAATCACTTCTTACATTAGCGATGCCATTTCCTGTAACTGTTGCAGCTTGGGTAGCAGGCACACCTCCTGCAGTTCTCACTAACTGTGGCTCCTTCTGCTGACTCCTGGAACTGACAACAGGAATTTTTGTTTCCTCTGACCTTGGGGATGTTGAGCTTGACAGCCTTGACTCTGTGACCTTACTGGTAATGAGTGGCTTGACTGCTACTTTCCCCTCATCTGGTACTTGTCCTTTGCCCTGACCAGCCAGTGCATCTTTGACTTGAGCTGCCACTTGACCTGTGACTTGAGCTGCCACTTGACCTTTGACTTCCACTGTCAAGGAGCCTTTGGCTACACTTGCTACTGGTCCTGCAGCCTGAAGTGCCACTGGACCTTTGACCTGGCTGACTACAGGTCCTCTGCTCTCTTGCAATTTTGAATCCAGAACTTCCTTAGGTTTTGTAGTCACTGCTGCCCGGTTGCTGGACCATGAGGAGGTGCTGGAGGCTGCAGAAGCCGAGTTTGGTGGAGACTTTCCTGATTGCAGAGGTGAAATACCAGCAGACGTGTCGCACCCAGCCGAGCCCTGGTCACTATCACCATCTTCCTCCTCCTCCTCATCGTCATCCTCATCATCACTTTCATCATTGCTGGGTGTCTTACCTAAATAATGGGAGGAGAAGAAAATGAAATATTCAACACTGCTGTCAAAGATAAATAATATTAAACAAGACCAGCTGAGCACGAGCATGTGGCACTATATGCACTAACTCTTTTGCAGCATAGAACTGCAGCCACCTGTTAGATTTCAGCTACAATACAACAGACACCTGCAGGATCACCTTTCAATTGTATGTGGAGCCATTTAGTGATACTTTCAAGATCATCCAAGAGGATAGACCCTAATTCTTCATTAATAGGCCATTTTCTTGACTTCGAGCTTTTAACTGGTAGAGATTGTACCTTCCAACTTATTTACCACATAGTGAATAGGTGATTACTGAAACTGGTGAAGCTGCAGCAATTAAAACAGACAAACCTGTGCTGTGCAAACAAAAAGATAATGTGGTAAATCTTAAACTTCTGTGGTAATCATATGGCTAATCTTGAATTCCTATTGGTAAGGTGTACTGTGTAACTAGAGTAAAAGTGATTTGTATATCGTAGTGAAAGAAGTCATATTTTGTGCTTCGTTACATACTGAAGTAACAATGCAACTGTCAAGACACACTGAACTATGCCAGGCAGTAAACTGTGTAACCTACTGTTTGTGTCCGCATTTTTAAACATTCCCAACTGGAAAACATTGTTTTGAATTGGGTTTAAGTTAATTAGTGGGAAGCAATGGTGGCGCAGTGGCTAGATGCTTGCCTGCTGGCCTAAAGGTTCTGGGTTTATATCCACATCAAGTGAGATTTTTTTTCAAAACTGACCTTGGCCCCAAAGTTGACCCAGCCTGAAAGGGGTACTTCCCCACGTGAATTCCAGGGTCCTGATTTAGGAGGTTGGGGAAGAGAACAGACCCACTGTCTTCCTAAAAAGCGTGTTGTAAAAGGCAACTAATTAGAAATTCTTTTCTTCAAAGTCAGGTCGCAGCTGCATGAGAGGTGAGGAACCAACAGTCTGCGTACAAGTAAGCCAGATTTGTAAAATGGAAGACAAGAGGGACACACACAAAAACTAGAACTTTCTGCCCTAATTTACAGCTGGTGAACACTAAGAAGAAAATGGGTAATAGAAAGTGTGTTGGGATGTAAAGGTGGCCAGTGTTATGTTCCCCATGCCCCTTATCTATTATTCTGTCTATGAAAATATGGGTCTAGAACACAGGCCAAATATACTAATATCACAATGGGCATGGCTCGTGATGATGAATGGTCTAAATAATTAAACAGGAAGACCTTATTATGATTAAAAAAAAAAAAAAAAATACTAAAACTCAAGTTACCCGATAACTGCCCCCTGTTGCTGCTTCCTGGAGCAAAGAACTCAAGTCTTGGGGCCAGCGGACGCTGCTTTTTGGCAGGGTTTAAGTTGTAGCAGTAGCAACATCGGAAGCCTGCAGGGAGATTGAGAAAAGAGAATAACTACACACATACACACATAGAAAGAGCCATAGATGTTAACAACACAGTTAAATATAAACATTAACTATTCATCAAAAGTTATCCTTGTGTGGGTTCTGGTTGCAACAAGAACAGACAATTTGTCCCGCTCTCTGTGTGCGTGCGTGCGTGCATTTCACCACCCATGCTTTTGTGGGGGTTTTTTTGGGTTGATATTCATGATATGCATATTTTCATACGAATATAACATGCTTACTGATAAAATACAACTGCAGTGTGAAAGACGGATGTCTGGAAGGGCCGAATGTAAGACAGGCATGCGTGCCCAATTTGTGACCCTTTAAGAATAAAGTTTGTTCGTTCCTTCTGTGATCAAGACTGACTGCTTGAGATCTTTTCCCATATAATTGTCTTTAACAGAGTCACCCTCATCATAATCCACTTCTGCCATTAACTGTCATAGGGGAGGAATAATCTGCGATCCAGTACACCCTGGCTGCTGCTGGCTGAAACTGGCTATTGTCATGCCGTGAAGGCGTAGAGTATCTTTAGTGCTGTCGATCCATATTTTCGTGGTCATCCTCTCGTAGCTGATCTGAGATGTAGTGCTGGTGATAATATTTGATCATGATATATTCTAACGAGATGGCCTAACCACTTGATCTGCTCGATTAAATCTAGTATATAGTGTACAAATCATGTTTGCTGAAACCGAATGAGTTGGGCCAAAATGCAATGATGTTGCAGCCTAGCTGTAAATTCACAACACATCAACCGCCCTTTCAAGGGGTGCATGCAGAAAAAGAAAAATCACAAATTAACTGTCTGAGCCCTAGACATGCGTTTTTTTAACTCAACATTTCTTCAACTGTTGTTGCTTAATTCACTCAGTACCAAACAGGCTCATCATATGAATCTTCGTAATTTAGAAGAAATTGCTGGGTAGGTTCCAGGACCCTACTGTCAGGGCAATCAAGAATAAACCCACTGCCTCCGTAAGAGTAAACTAACTGGGGGGCTTTGAAGTCAGCGTGCATCTGCCTGAGAGACAAGGAACCAACAGTCTGCATGGAAATAAGGCCAGATCTGTGAAATGGATGTAAACACAACACTCAGGTTTTGGAACAAGACTACTAAAGTCCAGAGGTGGATGAACAACCAAAACTTTCCGCTGGAGTTTACCGCAGTGTTTGTGAATATGAATTCAAATAATTATAATGTAGCTGCTATCTTTTATCACAGACAATCCTGGAATATCTCTTTGTATTAGAATCATAAGCCGAAATACTTCTGTCCAATAGCGAATATGCTGAATGTGTTCAGAACAAAGTATTTAGAGTTTTTTGGCTCTGTTTCTTGGGACAGCGGGAGTCAAAATATTAGGTGACCAGAACTGAAAGAGTTCAAGCAATTTGTCTTAAAGGGTCAAAATACAGGATAAAAGGATTTAAGTTAACAATCACCATCATCCTGTTGTTACACTTGTGGAGCTTTGGAGGAGATCGGAGCACCTATGGATCTGCCTGGAGTGCTGTGATGATAATCCTTTCTAATTACTAATCATCTTGTTGTGCCAGATTATATATCATAGAGAGCAGGGCTTTTCAACTAGCGGCCCGCGGGCTAAATCTGGCGCATGGAGGCCTAAAAAGTGGCCCACAACATCATCATCTACACAGATGGATCCGTGAAGCACGGTTTAAGGTCAGCATGGGCATACATAGCACAAAGAATAGGGAAAAACAATACAAGAGGACAGCGGCGCTTTCCAGACAACTGTGTCAAGCATGACCATGGAGGTAGCTGCTGATTCTTGAGCACTAGAATGGGTAGCAGAAGAAACAGCCACACAGACAGTAATAGTATGTGACCCCATAAGTATACTTCAGAAGATGGCAACTGGCGGTAGGTGCTCTGAATGGGTAGAAAGCATTCAAAACTCGCACTTAACCTCCCTAACCTGGATCTACACACCTGGTCATGCTGGGGTAAAGGGTAATGAGGGAGCGGAACAACTGGCAAACTATGCACTAAGCATGTGGGAAGAAGCATGGACAGAGCAAACATCATCAACGCTGCGGTACATGGGATTAAAGCATGGTGAAGCTTGTCTATGCCACCTGCAAGGCCGAGATAGGAGACAATATAACCAGCCTCTCATGGGAATATTTAGTAGAAGTACACTGGAGTGGCTGCTGCATGAGAGGATTGTGCATGCATTGGAATGCTTAATGTGCAGTGACGTCGATGGTGATAACATAACACTTTGTTATGTTAATGTTTATTCAACGGATCAACATCACGGCACATGAGTTAAACCCCATAAGTGACCCATTCTACTTCTAACTCATTCCTGGGTCTGAAAAATCTCAGCGCAGCAGGAACTCTGATGCACCGGCAAGAATCCTGAAATACTTTGGGTAGATTTTTATCACAAAATTTTGCCTGGGCAGCATCGTTAGGCTACTCTTTTCTATTTTCAACTGCCAAGATAATTTTGTTTACGTGCGCAACAATACACACGGGCATCCGATCTTACCACCCAGGGACCAGGAGAAATTACCAGAAGTTCACATGAAAAAAAATCCCAGCCTTCACCTGGCTTGAACCCGGGACATCCAGCACTCGAGGTGGACACCATACCTCGAGACCACTCAGCCCCCTAACATTGTGTTAATGGTCTTTCTAGGCTGGGGCCTGGGTCTCTGGGACATGATGATCCCATTTACAATATGCTGGCCCCCTGAGTTAACTTTGCTGAACAGCCCTGATATAGGGCTTGTAGTCTATTTCTCCGCTCTATTCTATCCTTTGCAATCCATCAACATCATGGATAGAACCCAGTCCAGAACCTTTGGCCTCTCATCAACATTCATTTTAAGGTGTCTCTTGGACGTCCTCCCTTCCTCAATCCATCTGTTTCACATTTCAGTGCCTGTCTGCTCAGTTCTTAGCCTATGAAAATAAATGAGGGGGGAGGGGGGGGGGAATGTTAATTTTGAAAAACCTTTAAAAAAAGTGAAAAAAAGAATACGCTTACACGTGTTTATTTTAAAAGTATGGTTACGAAAATAATGGAATATTAGTTTCTTTTATTCTTTGCATTCACCGGTTGTAAACTCTGGCGGAAACTTCTGGTTGTTCATCCACCTCTAGACTTTGGTCTCCTCGTTCTACAACCGTTTTACAGATCTGACTTATTAGTATGCAGACTGTTGGTTCCTCGCCTCTCAGACAGATGCACTCCCACTTCGAAGGATGCATAGTATTAGTTCAAGAAGAAGCAGCTTACTCAGATACTCAAACTCCTCCTTCAAGGCCATGCCATTGTGAGAGGAGCAGTGTTGACATATGAGGGCATATCTGTTCTCGGGCCCATCTCCGACCAGATAATCCATCAACTTGTCCATGGTGCCTCGTTCTCGGGGCAGCACAGTCCTGGGCATTGGCAGGCCTGGGGGCATGACTGAGAATAGAGATAAGAATGTCATCAGCAACAGGATAGATAACAGGTTTGTTCATTTGCTAAAATTAGGAGTGATTACAAACAAGCAGCTAAAGACTATATTAATTAACACAACACAAATAATGACTTGGAATATCAATGAAGATAAAATAAAAAGCGTACCCAGAAACAACTACATGTTTTCTGCCAAAGACAGAAAAGTGAACTTGAAGATTTCTGTACACAAATGGATAAAATCTCATTAAAATTAATAACAAACATGGGGTCAAAGTCATAATATTTATGCTTCAGAGAACTTGCATGTCTTGTAGTACATGGGAAATCTCTGAAACATAAACAGAATATGTTCTGCTCTATGTTTGTTATAGCAATTGGCTAAAGCCTTCAGGTTCCAGCAACCCTCCCTGCTTTGTTTTTTTACATGGTTGGGAGTGGGTGGGGGGTCACTGTGGTGGGGGTTTTTGGCGGCTTAGCCCCTCAACACATTTTTGTAATGAGACTAAGCCGCAGACCAATACTGACTTCTTTCTTTTTTCTTTTCCCTTCATCAACATCATCATTATCAAGTGCCTTGCAGCTGGCGTACGCGTTCATGTGTCGCCACAGATCTCGGTCTTTGGTGTTTTGGATCAATGCCACTGATGATATTCCTCCATGCCACTGTTTTAAGCCATCCACCATCATTTCTATTGGTCTGCTTCTGCTACCAGTGATCTTTCCAGTCATCACAATATTTTTCAGTGCTCCTTTTCACATTACATGACCAAAGACTATTCTTCCCTTCACAATGATAAAACAGATGTTGATAGTCTGATCTGATGTTGGGGTTACGTATGATTTTATCTGATACTGTATTATCGGCATCTGTGGCTTCGGTGTTGCGAATGTGCTTTGTAATGCTGGAGTGCCAGAATCATTATAATTAATAAAGAACTGGGCGTAAAACAAGCAGCATTTATTTTCACAGATTTTTAGTGTCTTGCACAGGCATTAAGTTCACAGCTATATCTATAGAAAACCAAAACACAATTTAATAAAAGTGTACAATCTATACTGTTGTATGATTGAAGAAAGGTCATAAAAACTGTTGGTCCCCATTGCGGGAAAAACAAGAACAGACCTACCCAAAAAAAGCATGCCGTAAGAGTCGACTAACTAGGAGTTTCCTCCTAAATCGGACTGCATCTGCTAGAGAGGCAAGGAGCTGAGAGTCTACATACAAATGAGTCAGATCTGTAAAACGGATGAGCTCGCAACACTCAGGTTCTGGAATTGGACGAACAACCAGAACTTTCCGCTGCAGTTTACAGCCAGTGAACGAGAAGAAGAAGAAGACTACATCTGGAACATTTCTAGTACTCCATCCACCTTCTCAACAGCCAATGAAGAATCCATATACTGATGGTGCAGCTTACAACCAGATTGCAAGATTGTCTGTCTTTTCTTCAGTGTACTGAAAAATCGTCCAAACCCTCTGCTCATAATGTGCCTTGCTGACTGACTGCCTCTCCAAAATCTGCGATATCCAGCAGCATGAATCAGCTCGTGTGCTAACATCCCTCTATGCCATGACAAAGTTAAGTAAAGGACCCTTCTCCACACCTTCAGGCGTAACGGGCACACAGGGCTAGACAGGACCTGAATCCACAACCTTCAGATGCACAAGCCAGCGCCTAGCTGCTACATCACTGTGGCGCCCCCATAACAATGGCTGCCAAAAATCTTCTCGCATTGTCTTTTCCTGTCTCTTTTTCCACAGATCTTTCTGTGACAACACGTTTAAAGTTTTTCTTCTCGCAATATGACCCACAAATGATGACTTTTTCTGATACTTCTTATAAGTTGTCTTTGAACCCTCACCTCTTTCAAAACATCTGTGTTTGCTCTTTTTGTTGTTGTTGCTGCTCAAGAAATTCTAAGGAATCTTCTGTAGAACCACATCTGTGAGGCCTCAAGAAATTCTAAGGAATCTTCTGTAGATCCACATCTGTGAGGCCTCAAGAAATTCTAAGGAATCTTCTGTAGATCCACATCTGTGAGGCCTCAAGGAATTCTAAGGAATCTTCTGTAGAACCACATCTGTGAGGCCTCAAGGAATTCTAAGGAATCTTCTGTAGAACCACATCTGTGAGGCCTCAAGGAATTCTAAGGAATCTTCTGTAGAACCACATCTGTGAGGCCTCAAGGAATTCTAAGGAATCTTCTGTAGAACCACATCTGTGAGGCCTCAAGGAATTCTAAGGAATCTTCTGTAGAACCACATCTGTGAGGCCTCAAGGAATTCTAAGGAATCTTCTGTAGAACCACATCTGTGAGGCCTCAAGGAATTCTAAGGAATCTTCTGTAGAACCACATCTGTGAGGCCTCAAGGAATTCTAAGGAATCTTCTGTAGAACCACATCTGTGAGGCCTCAAGGAATTCTAAGGAATCTTCTGTAGAACCACATCTGTGAGGCCTCAAGGAATTCTAAGGAATCTTCTGTAGAAACCACATCTGTGAGGCCTCAAGGAATTCTAAGGAATCTTCTGTAGAACCACATCTGTGAGGCCTCAAGGAATTCTAAGGAATCTTCTGTAGAACCACATCTGTGAGGCCTCAAGAAATTCTAAGGAATCTTCTGTAGAACCACATCTGTGAGGCCTCAAGAAATTCTAAGGAATCTTCTGTAGAACCACATCTGTGAGGCCTCAAGAAATTCTAAGGAATCTTCTGTAGATCCACATCTGTGAGGCCTCAAGAAATTCTAAGGAATCTTCTGTAGATCCACATCTGTGAGGCCTCAAGAAATTCTAAGGAATCTTCTGTAGAACCACATCTGTGAGGCCTCAAGAAATTCTAAGGAATCTTCTGTAGATCCACATCTGTGAGGCCTCAAGAAATTCTAAGGAATCTTCTGTAGATCCACATCTGTGAGGCCTCAAGAAATTCTAAGGAATCTTCTGTAGATCCACATCTGTGAGGCCTCAAGAAATTCTAAGGAATCTTCTGTAGATCCACATCTGTGAGGCCTCAAGAAATTCTAAGGAATCTTCTGTAGATCCACATCTGTGAGGCCTCAAGAAATTCTAAGGAATCTTCTGTAGATCCACATCTGTGAGGCCTCAAGAAATTCTAAGGAATTTTCTGTAGATCCACATCTGTGAGGCCTCAAGAAATTCTAAGGAATCTTCTGTAGAACCACATCTGTGAGGCCTCAAGAAATTCTAAGGAATCTTCTGTAGAACCACATCTGTGAGGCCTCAAGAAATTATTTGGCTTGTTTATTATGATAAAAAAAAATATATGGTAAATTGACTAGGTTAACTGACTAGTGATGATGGTGATCACAGCTGAATTTCTTTTTCCTATTTCTGAACTGGCCTATCAAAAAAAAAGTGTAATACCATAGAAGTACGGACAAGGAAAAAAGTAAGCTGTAAATGGAATGGAAATGATATCCAAACAAGATGGGTATAGTTTTGGTTTTCCAGAATGCCTTTTGACATTCTGGCAAACACAGCTCTCTAGTATGGCAGATGGGAAAAAAGAAACATGGATGACCTAAGGAAACATAGACGACAGCAGAGTGTGAAATAATGGAGATGACAGCAGGATGTGAAATAAAGGATATGACAGCAGAGTGTGAAATAAAGGAGATGACAGTAGAATGGGGAATAAAGGAGACGATGGTAAAATAGGAAATATAGGAGATGACAGTAGAATGGGAATAAAGGAGGCGAAAGTAGAATGGGAAATAATGGAGACGACAGTAGAATGTGAAATAAAGGAGATGACAGTAGAATGTGAAATAAAGGAGATGACAGTAGAATGGGAAATAAAGGAGATGGCAGCAGAATGGGAAATAAAGGAGCGTAAACTGAAACGGGACACAATATGCAGAAAAGCAGAAGGCCAGCAACAATGAAGATCACATGTGAATGTCTTATGTGTAAAAAATATGAATATGATAAAGGCCGAAATGGACTGGGGTTTGGCCCATTCTTACCGCTGTAGCCTCCAGTGGTGACAGGCTGTGATGGGAATGGAGTTCTGGGCTGTGGCAATCCTGTGGCTTGTGGCCGGGGTGTGGCCGTTGATCTCGGCTGTGGTGATTGTAACAGAGGCCGAACCTGAGGCTGGCGGAAAGTGGGTGTTGAAGGAAATGGGGTCACTGGTTGCCTGGGTCGTGGCAGTACTTGGGTCGGTGAGGGGGTGGCTGGGTTAGACATCCTGGGGGTCACTGAAGAAGCAGCTCTGGCAACTGGCACAGCTGTTCTGACAGTTCTCTGCTGGAGCACTGCAAATGACAAACAGAAGTGATGAGTACAGGACAACTATTCCAGCAGAACCTCAACTCGGGAATGGCAGCAGCACAGTAGCTAGATGCTTGCCTACTGAACCAAAGATCTTGGGTTCAAATCCTCACCAGGATGAAATGGAAAAATAATGGTCCCGCCTACCCAGCCAATTTAACCAAAAACTGGTACCAGAAAATGTCAAGGAAAACAAAACAAAAAACAAATAAAAAATCATCATTACAGAGTACAGACTGATATATAAAAACTGAGTCTGAAACCAGATGCCTGACACCTCACTGCTGTGCAAATGGACCTTACCGTGTTTAAATTATTCAGATGGCTGGCCATATGGAAGGGACAGGACAAGAGCACTGACCTAATCCATGATTCTGGTGATCATGTAAGAGAGCAAAACTTGGCCACCAGTGCTAATTGGAAAAGCACATCATGATGACGGACTGTTATTCATACAGGTGTTGTAGTTGGTGTCGAGATGTCTCTCACGATCCAGCACCAAAGTAAAAGCTTAATAAGGATTGTTGCAGAGCTATCTCTCATGTCTGTCTCCATGGGTGATCGCATATCAGGTTAAGCATACAAATGGGAGCACATCTCCAGGCATACAGAGCATTAATAAATTCTTCTTCTTCATGTTCACCAGATGTAAACTCTGGCGGAAAGTTCTGTTTGTTCATCCACTTCTGGACTGTAGTCCTGTTCCAGAAGCTGAGTGTTGCGTGTGTATCCATTTTACAGATCTGACTAATCTGAATGCAGACTGATGGTATCTTGCCTCTCAGGCAGATGCACTCCATCTTCGAAGAATGCTCCCAATTAGTCAACTCTTATGACATGCTTTTGGGTAGGCAGTGGGTCTATTGTTATTATCCCTGTAATAGGGCCCTGGAACCCACAAGGAGAATTAACAAATTATGTAAGCATCACTCTTCTCCTGTGTTCGCCCTTAAAAGGGCATATGGCATGTTATGGCGTACAAAAAGGCAGTGATATCGGCACCTTGTGGCCCAATACATCCAATTTCAACAAATCACCCCCCCCCCCCATTAGTCACCTTTTACATCATGTTTGTTAAGGGGGCACTGGGTCTGTACCCTTTCCCCAATGAGGCCCTAGAACTACATGGGAGGTAAGCATAATTTACATTTTATCCACGTGTAGGTTTCCACGACCATTTTTAAATGGAAAAAAACCCGGCTCGTTAGCGCAGTTGGCTAAACCGGACTGTGCGGCGACCGGGTGACAAACTCCTTGTGGTACGGGTTCACGCCCAGGAGTAGGCAGAAAAGTCACATTCCACCCAATTTACGGTATCTATCATGGAATCAAGGCCGAAGGGTTCAGTTGGCACATCAATAGTACCAAGCCAAAGGGTTAACAACTCATAGTTTCTGGATTAAAAAAGTGAAAATGAAAAAAAGAAAAAGAACACACCCACCAGACCTCATCTACTTCTACTCAACTATTGTGGATTTTGCTGAAATATTGCAAGGTCTTATTTTTCTCCACCATCTTGGGACAAAAGCAGTAACATAATTCCAAAATAAAGACAACGTATTTGTGTAAATGTACACAACCCCAATATCTTATGTAATCTTCATGTTAAAATAGAAGTGATGTAACAACCAATTAAGAAATTATTCTAATAAAACCAAAGAATACTTCTTTTCTGTTGAATGCATATGCAGTCTTTAATGTTACTATATTTAAAGAAAGTAGCAGTCAACTTGAGTTTGTTGATATCTAGAGTTTCTTCTGAAATTACATGGAGGCATATCACAAAAAATCTCTCTCTCTTATGTATACGTTAAATACTCTTGCAACGTTCATCCAAAGATGTAAACGTGTTGTGCCCATTTACAACATGACTGTGATATTCACGCCTTTCGGCTGAAGAATCTGACTTTTGCAAGTCTTTGATGTCTGGGAAAGCATCAAAACTTGAAGAATACAGGGAATGAGAAATGGAAAAATAACTCTAACTGACCTGTGCCAGGGGTGCTGGTGATGGTGGCCGGAGTTCCTCCCCCTGATTCTGGGCTGCCCTAAAGACACATGGTAAACTCAGGGTTATGAATAAATGAATGAATGACTGAATCAAGAACTGACAATACTGCACTAAGGACATTCCTATATGTGTTCCACCTCCTTTATCAATAGCCAAAGATTGGGTCTCCCTACTGATGGTGCGACTTGCAAGTCGGCCCATCCTTTCCTGGACACTTTGAAAACTGTCCAGATCGTTTGAACTCCCTGTTGAATTCATTTTTCAAGGTCTGGATACTCTGTTCCGTTTGACTATTCACTTGATCTGTGAGAGCCTTCACCAAGTTTACTTTATCATAAGGCAGCTCGGAGCCCAGAGGAATGGAAGCAGCCAATCTAAGATTTCTCTTGATCTGAGCCATACCAAGCAATGCAAGCCACTTTACATGCAGGACACCAGTTCGAATTTTTGAAGCATGCTCTTCGAATTCATTAGTTACATCATTTCAGACTATACTACTCTCCAACTCAGATGTATTAGACCATTCATGTGGAAAAAGTTGATTGTATCTTCTAGGAGAAGAGGCAGGGAATAAGTATTTTGCAATGGCTTGATCACAGAGGAGAAGAGTAAAATGGAGTGAGAGGAACTTAAAGAAAGACAAGAAGAAAGAAAGATGGAAGTGCGAGGGGTGACAATAAGGTCACAATTTAGAAATAGATGGGTGGGGTGGGGTGGGGGGGGGGGGGGAAGGGGGAGATGAAAGAAAAAAGAGAGTGCAATAGAGATCAAGAGAGTAGTGCAGAGACATGAATGAAAATCACAGAAGAATACAGAAAGAGAAAAAGAGAAAAACTGAATAAGATACACAAAAGAAAGAAAAACAAAACATAAAAACATGACAATTAAAAAAGGAGTACTAGAGAAACAGAAACAAACTGAGGAATGAAAAGAAAAAAGAGAGAAGAGTGAAAAAGTAAATCTAAAGAGAAAGAACAGAAAGGGGTGTGTGTCAGTGCACAACAGAGAGTAAAAAGGTAAAGGTAAATTCGGGAGATGTGAACCAGCATCATTGCACACGGTTAAAAACCATAAGTGCTCTGCCACCAGTACGGACAGCTGATAAGAAACTGTTCGCCTGTGTCGCCGTCCACACACAACTCCGTAGCTACAGCGATGTTCCTCCATTTACCCTAGAGTGTTAACTCTGGTACCCATTACCTAGAGGCTGGGCGAACCCCAGGAACCGCCCGGTTTCGAACATTGGACGTGGGCTGCAGCAAGTCTCAGCTGGTTTTGTAAGTGAGTCTCCTATATATATATATATATATATATATATATATATATACTATATATATATATATATATATATATATATATATATATATATATATATATATATATATACACATACATACAGACATAAAAATAGACAAAGATTGAAATAAAATCAGTTTGAAAAATAAACCTACAACTTCCAATTTCCGGAGTCTCCCAGGATCAAATTTCTCCAGAATCTCTCTGGCCCGTTTGTATGTCTCCGTCTCAACAACATCCTCCAGCTGTGAGACAGAAAACAGACAGCTGAACACAGACTAATGGACAAAAAGACAAATCAACATACAGACAAATGGACAAACGTACACTCAAAGCAATGTTGCATAATTCTGGATTGAACCACTTTATAGCTGTTGTTTTAATGAATCGTTGTCGTGGGGTGAGCAACCAACCCTACACAATGGACGAGTCGTGACTTTGACTCCCTCGCGCTCAGTCAGATTTCAAACTTAAACCCGTCCGGAAGGGTATATAGTCCCTTATCTTGATATATATATCACCAGATAAAGATCTGGTGATATATTCATTTCTAGACCCTCTAGTTGCTTTGATAAATCTTCATTTCAAACTTGCAACCGTAGGTTGACGATTTCTGGTAATTTATTTAGAAATTCCTATAAACCGGTTTACTCCTTGGGCAGGAATACAGGGGACATCTTTCCTAGAGTTTAAGTTTGAAAAAAAAAAACATTCTTTCGCCTGATCCCAAAGTGTCTAGACGTGCATACAGTCTATGTAGAAACTGGTGCATTCAAAGTTCCATTTCTATCTTGAAAGATTTCCTAAGCTTGGGTAAGTTGTTTATAGTTTACGAGTACCATAAATTATGTCTTTTTAAAGTTGGCCACTGCTGCAGAGAGGGCAGAGTCAGCTGTGTGATCACACAGAGTTCGACCGTTCTGGATATCCAGAGATCAGGCTCCGAACATTAGACTTTCCCCTGTACAGACTAATTAGTTGGTGCTCTACATAACCCACACCATTTGTAAAGACATTAAACCCTACAAATAATTATTCTTGGACCAGTCAAACGAAGTTTTGTGCCGCATAACAGCAATGGGGAATCTAGGTCATCTTTAACCGGCCGTCAGGGCTAGGCGCTCTGAGTCAATAGTGTATTTGACACAGATTCAGTGGGTGTGTAGTGAGCAGCCTGGGGAGACGTGGAATATATATATAGGTACCAACTGTAAACATAGTATGTCTGCGAGTGCAGATGTGAGGGTGGAGAGAGGATGATCTATGTGTGGTAGTTCCTATCTATCTCCACTATATACCCTGTTTTCTATCTGTTGCACTAGTTTACAGACAGATAAATGAAAGGAGACATTGTCTCCTGTACTTGAGAGTTACACTCTGAGGAATGGAGAAGGATAGCAGAGGTGGGGTGAGCTCATGTGTGATTAAAGTTGATTACTAATTCTGAGTTCTTTCCTGACAAGATGATACCTCCTTAGAGATCAGGCAAACGAATCACAGTCCAGCCAACAACCACCAACCCATACCATTCTGGGCACCAAGCATACCCAAAAGTCCTGCCCATTGTGCCACTACCTCAACATGGCAAGAGCTTGTTTGTGAGTTCCAGGACGAGTGGACAATTGCAGACATCTGTGTCATCAATCCAGAGAACCAGTCTTCAAGAGCTTTGTTGGGCTCTGATGCAGTTTTTGTGTCCTGACCTGTGAGAGAGACTTGTTGGGTTCCTGTGCAGTTCCTGTGTCCTCTATTGTGAGATAGCCAACTTGTACCAGATCAAATCAAGGCATAGATACCTGAGTCAACTACAGTCGAATCACCATGGACTGAGGGGAGCATTGACCTACGAACTGGGCTAAGTGATCACTTATTCATTATCATGCTCTCTTCCCACAGCACCTTGAGATTCCTAGGATAAATTCATGTACTCCTCAAGACTACATCTGGCTGCTTCAATATCTGGGTTGTGTCAATGTTTCCTGAGCTCCATTCACTGAACTCTTGATCTATTTATTATTTTATGTATATATTGTACTAATTACATGCACACATTTTCATGGCTGACTTGGGTGTCCCTATTTCACCATTCTAACTGTCTAGCTTTGATGTTTGTGTGAGTAATAAGTGTTATCTGTGTAAACATGGCTATGATAGTAGACTATCATAACCTGGGGGCTATCTTTTTATAGTAGTGGGGGTGTCTAGCCAAACGTGCCTAGGAATAATATTTATTTTGTAGTGCCAAAACTTGAGTTGCCCTACTCCTGAAATAAGTTGGGCGTATATTGGCCATGGGGCATCCCTTAGACCAATACGAGCCAACGACTCAACATAATTATTTCAGAGTGCTGTTGGTTCTTAAGGAGAAATCCTTAAATCAGGCACGTGACAGGAGTGATATGTGACAATCGTAATATAGAAATAGAAATGCACCAGTAAAGCTGCATATGTGGGCTGAATTGATTGATGACTAAAGAAACGGGTTGCTAAATATACTGCACTATGGGTGGTAAAAGCAATGCAAACTACTAAGAAGACCAACAACTCAACAAAAAATGAATCAGGTGACTGGTCGAAAGGACCACCAGTCATCCATTGCGCGTCACCTTTTGAATTCTGGGCACACTGTAAACATGGACGATGCATTTCGAACTCTGAACACTTCAGAGCGAAAGCAGACTGCAGATCTTCACTGTCTGTAATTAACATCACATCATCTACACATCTTATATTATTGACGATACACCATCCCATGTTAATTTCCTTCTTGTTTTTCAGATGTCCCATAATATTTTCACTATACAAGGAATAAAGATCTGGAGACATTACACACCACTGTAGCACACCTTTCTTGACTGGTCAGTACAGACCTACTTCATTATCGATTCTCACAGTAGCATGTGGTCTGCAGTATATGTTCGTAGAAATGGTAGGCCAAATATAAAAATCTGCCCAAAAACAGAGTGAAACCCAAGACTTTTGACCCAAAACAGAGTGAAACCCAAGACTTTTGACCCAAAACAGAGTGAAACCCAAGACTTTTGGCCTAAAATAGTGTGAAACCCAAGACTTTTGACCCAAAACAGTAAAACCCAAGACTTTTGACCCAAAACAGAGTGAAACCCAAGACTTTTAGCCTAAAACAGAGTGAAAACCAAAACTTTTGGGGCAATCTGGCAAGCATCTAGCCACTGCGATCCTGCAGCTCCCTATATATGACCAAAGTTTAAACAATAAATGAACACAAGATGTCATAAGTACTCACAATCTGCTTCTTCCTCTCCCGCAGTTGCTGCAGAGCTAAATCTGAAATACATAAGTTGTTTGATCTTTCTAAATATATAATATACTGAATAGTCTCTCACACACTTGGCAAATTTTTTAAAAACCTATTCCCCCTCCCCCCTTCCCCGAACAATGGTGTCAGAATGTGCTATAGAAAGGTATGGAATGTCAGAATGTGCTGCAGAGAGACATGGAATGTCATAATGTGCTATAGAGAGGCATGGAATGTCAGAATGTGCTACAGAGAGGCATGGAATGTCAGAATGTGCTACAGAGAGGCATGGAATGTCATAATGTGCTACAGAGGGGCATGGAATGTCATAATGTGCTACAGAAGGGCATGGAATGTCATAATGTGCTACAGAGGAGCATGGAATGTCATAATGTGCTACAGATAGGCATGGAATGTCATAATGTGCTACAGATAGGCATGGAATGTCATAATGTGCTACAGAGGGGCATGGAATGTCATAATGTGCTACAGATAGGCATGGAATGTCATAATGTGCTACAGATAGGCATGGAATGTCATAATGTGCTACAGAGGGGCATGGAATGTCATAATGTGCTGCAGAAAGGCATGTAATGTCATAATGTGCTACAGAAGGACATGGAATGTCATAATGTGCTACAGAGGAGCATGGAATGTCATAATGTGCTACAGATAGGCATGGAATGTCATAATGTGCTACAGATAGGCATGGAATGTCATAATGTGCTACAGATAGGCATGGAATGTCATAATGTGCTACAGATAGGCATGGAATGTCATAATGTGCTAAAGAGAGGCATAAATTGTCAAATGTGCTACAGAGAGGCATGGAATGTCATAATGTGCTATAGACAGGCATGGAGTGATGATCGATACTTTGGTTTATTCAGACTCTGCAGAGACATAATTTCATGAAGAATACGTTCACAGTTGAAGTGACACAGTCAAAATCTTGAAAATTATAAATCTAGAAATAGATCAATAGTAGAAGGGGTGTGTCCCTCAAACAGCAACATCTGGTGTTCACTTTGAGAAACAAGGCTGATTCTGCTGAGTGGATTGGCACACAAAGGTGGAATATTGGCGCTAGATAAAAGGTAAGCCTATTTTCTACAATGTCTCCAAGTTTCATCTTATTCTAGCCAATTGTTTGCATGTAACTAATATTTTTTAATATCATGCTGATTTTTTCGTGTTAATGCCCAGGAGCTCAGGTATAGAGGACAGTTAGGTTCAGGGCCTCAGGTCTGGTGGGGTTAAGGAAAAATTTAAGTCAACCTAGCTTAGAAAAATCTAATGGATCCCCAAAGAATATGATCTAAATGCTATATTTAGTTGATATATTCATATCTGGGCCTCCTATCACACAGCACTAATAGCATTTAATTACGCTTGAAGAAAAAACTGGTCACTGCAGAAATGACGATTTCGGCTTTTGCAAGGTTTATGTCACAATCAGAAGTGACTAGATTTAGCCTTCTTGGGGAAATAGGGTTAAATTAAAAAGCCTTGTATATGTAAAAATATACCATTCACTGCCCCAACAACAGTATCTGAGGCAGAATTACAACTGACGGGAACAACTTCAGCAATATGAGCCTTTGAGGATCATTGCTAGTTATTATGTGCCTCCATTCACCTCTGTATGTATGTAAATATGTATGTATGTATGTATGTATGTATGTATGTATGTATGTATGTATGTATGTATGTGTGTATGTATGTATGTTTCTGTCTGTGTATGTATGAGCACACAAAAACAAACTGTGTACGCTTGTGTATATATGATGTGTGTATGCATATTTCATTATGTATATTTTTATGTAGACACCACATGTATTATTGATGACATGCAATGGTGGTCTGAAAGGGCTTGGAAGGGTGGCATTTAAGACGGGCCTGCATGCCTAATTTGTAACCCTTTGAAAATAAAGTTAATTTGTTCATTCTGTGACAGACCTTCTCTTTCGAGTGTGTGACTCTAAGTGTTTGTAAGTATGCCTGTGTATTATTTTTCCATCATCTTCTTGGTCTCCCTCAAAGTCTACTCCCTTTCAACTCTTTTGTGTATGCGGTTTTTGTGTCTATGTCATCTGTCATTTTTTTTATAAGTCAATGGCAAACGTTGTTATAGCCGTCCCCATGTGGGATACAATTTTTCGTTATTTGAAGCCCCACCCTGGCTTTTGCCGAGGGCCCTGAATATGGCGGGGCCATAAATATGGCCTAATGGCAGAAAGGGGTTTTTGGGACCTCTCCACGGGTGATCCTCATCCGGATGGTGGCACTTTGTGTCCCCAGTGTTCATCGCTTGTGTGATGTCCTGGTGGGATACAACAACAAAGAAAAGGAGAGAGGAAAACTTGTATTTTTTTTTTCAAGTTTAGACGAGTTAAAAACAGACATCACACCATTTAGGAATTCTCATATTTGCGCTGACCTCAACTTCAGCAGCCAACAAACACCTTCAACTCCGACAGTGCCAGCAGAAGTCTGATTATATGTAAATCTTGTCTTCCTCTGAGCTTAAAGTGTCTACCCGATTCCCTGGTCACTCCTGGCTGTACCATGCTCTCCGCATCATAATGTGTCGACCCGATTCCCTGGTCACTCCTGGCTGTACCATTATCTCCGCATCATAATGTGTTGACCCGATTCCCTGGTCACTCCTGGCTGTACCATGCTCTCCGCATCATAATGTGTCGACCCGATTCCCTGGTCACTCCTGGCTGTACCATTATCTCCGCATCATAATGTGTTGACCCGATTCCCTGGTCACTCCTGGCTGTACCATTCTCTCCGCATCATAAAGTGTCGGCCCGATTCCCTGGTCACTCCTGGCTGTACCATTATCTCCGCATTATAATGTGTCGACCCGATTCCCTGGTCACTCCTGGCTGTACCATTATCTCCGCATTATGTGTCAACCCGATTCCCTGGTCACTCCTGGCTGTACCATTATCTCTGCATCATAATGTGTTGACCCGATTCCCTGGTCACTCCTGGCTGTACCATTCTCTCCGCATCATAAAGTGTCGACCCGATTCCCTGGTCACTCCTGGCTGTACCATTATCTCCGCATTATAATGTGTCGACCCGATTCCCTGGTCACTCCTGGCTGTACCATTATCTCCGCATCATAAGGTGTTGACCCGATTCCCTGGTCACTCCTGGCTGTACCATTCTCTCAGCATCATAAAGTGTCGACCCGATTCCCTGGTCACTCCTGGCTGTACCATTATCTTCGCATTATAATGTGTCGACCCGATTCCCTGGTCACTCCTGGCTGTACCATTATCTCCGCATTATAATGTGTCGACCAGATTCCCTGGTCACTCCTGGCTGTACCATTCTCTCCGCATAATAATGTGTTGACCTGATTCCCTGGTCACTCCTGGCTGTACTATTCTCTCCGCATCATAATGACCTACTCATGCTTCCGCATTGTCCACTTGCTCCAAAAGGGCTTTGACCACATCCAGTTTGCCATGAATAAAATCACTACTTATTGGTGCAGAACTAGCCAGTCTGTCTGCCTGTTCATTTCCCAACACTCCAACATTACCTTGAGAAAATATTCAAAGAATACCAACAACACAGGACCTTTGAAGCGAGGCTTGTCACTGTTTAATGAAAGAAACAGTGAGATATTACTCACCATTGGATGATATTCTTTTCACAAAGTACCAGTGAAGTAATTTTTTGATTCCCCAAATGCTGGAGAATAGAAGATTGTAAACTTATTTAGAGATGACCATCTCAAAAGAAGAAGTTATAAATGTAATAAATATTACAGATATAAGCATAAACAAACCACCAACACTACTCCTTCCTCCTCTTCTTTAACATGAGGTGGTCATCTTTAAACTGCTATTATGAAGTCATCATGTTTGCGCTGTGATGTCACATACTTAACACTCCTGACATCTTTCACAACAATACTGCAGGTTACAAAATTAAGGCATGGTTACTGAAAATTGTATCATACTTTCAAGGTTTTCAATTGACTACACACTTTATTCTAGTACTTTATTCTCCAATACAGCATAGATCCTTCACCAATGCATGCCAAGATATCCATAACTTGCCATTGATCCATCACTTGCCATTGATCTATCATTTGCCACTGATCCATCGTTTGCCATTGACCCATCATTTGCAAATGAGTTTAGCTTATTCCACATTGCCACATATTTGTTTTTTTAAATCTCATTCTTTTCTGTGTGTTTTTGGTCTGACTTTATTTCTTATGGGCTTCAGTGCAATGGCATTCTGGTTATGCTGTCCTCAGGTTTTCTCAATGTATGGCCCATCCAAACCTTCCTCATTTAAGGTGAAGGGAGAATGAAGAGAGTGAGAAACAACACCGAAATTAATAATATGTTTAATCATGATTATTTCCTGGCCTCATGAGGGCTAACCAACTGCTGAATTGGAAGAATGGCAGACAAGATAGAGACAAAAACTGTATATACAAAAGATGAATAGGAGTCAATCACAGGGCAGACCAAGAAGAAAGCAGAGAGACACAAAGGTAGACCAACAAACACTCCCCATAAGGAAAGAGGCCAAACACAGAGATGAATGAAAGTGGGTGATATCTGCAGCAAACAACCTGAAGAGATCGGAAAGCTAAAAAAAAGAAATGTTAAAAGAACAACACCAGAGATATTTGTCATATTTTTTTAAATCAGGGTTTCTCAATGCGTATCCTACTCAACTGCATTTACTTGAAAAGCGAAAAACCAATAGTTTGCATACAGATAAGACAGAACTGTAAAAGGGATGCACAGGCAAAACTCAAGGGCTGAAATATGACCAAAGTCCAGAAGTGGATGCACACCCAGAACTTTCTTTAGAGTTTGCAGCTGGTGAAAACTAAGAAATGGTAGGCCTAGTACTGGTAAATGATTTCACAGAACCACAAACAATCAAACAGTTTGGTCCTCTGGTCAGAATTGAACAAAAACTGCCAGCAACTAGAGCCTACAACATGAGAACAGCAAGCTACAAGGCAAGAGGCCGACCAAGAAAGAGATGGGTGAAGGGAGTAAAATAAACAATACAGAAACACAATCTGATATTAAAAGGAAGACTTACTTACTTAGTCGCTCCTCTTCTACCTTGGGGTGTAGAGGTTTGCCAGAGAGATCGCCAGACGTCTCTATCAGCAGTTTTCTTTCTGGCTTTGTTCCATTCCAGCCCTCTGTTAGTTAGGGACTGTCGGATGTTGTCTTCCCAGCGCACCCTGGGTCATCCCGGAGGTCTGGTTCCCTGGTTCTTAGCCTCCCATGCCTGCCATGGTGGCCGATTTTCTCCCATTCTGCATACATGTCCAAACCATCGTAACTGTGACTGATCCACTCGGGTTAGTAAGGGCTGGGTATCAAGATCCTGACGTATTGTCTGATTGCGGACTTTGTCCCTTCTTGTCACTTGGACCACCTTTCTCAGGTATCTCATTTCCGAGGCCTGCAGCTGGCTTCTGTGAGCTGTTGTCATTGCCCATGACTCACACCCATAGGTCAGGACTGGTACATAGGTAGAGCGGTAAACAGCCATTTTCGTCCTCTTGCCAATTTCTCTTTTGCTAAGAAACCCTTGGTTTATGGCCTGGAAGAGTCTCCCAGCAGCTGATTTTCGTGTAGCCAGCTCAGTCTTAATGCCTCCGTTTTGGTCTAGTACAACTCCAAGGTACTTGAACTGGTTAACCTGCTCCAATGCATACTGTCCCATCATGATCTGGTGTTTCTTCTCCTCTCTTGAGATCACCATGGTTTTAGTTTTGGAGATACTGATGGTCATCCCTTTCTTTTCAAGCTCTTCCTTCCAGACAAGTAAGTTGGACTGAAGGTGTGCCTCTGATTTAGCTATCAGGGCCACATCGTCTGCAAAAGCCAGCTCTGATTTACAGATTGGTCTCATCTTCCAGTACCCTACAGAGTACTTCTTTGTCTTCTCCTTACAGGTCTTGATGACATCATCCATCATAAGAATGAAGAGGTAAAAAAGAAGACATAAAATTTAAAAAAAAAAAAAAAAATTTTGAAAAGGGAGTTGGAGAGTGAAGGGAGGACATGGGGAGAGCTGTATCCGATCGCGAAAGATAGAGCGATCTGGTGTGAGTTGACTGAGGGCCCATGCTTCACTAGTGTTTAAAGGCAGAAGAAGAAGAATAATGAGGCAGTAACAAAAGCTATGCAACTAGCAGAGGACAGGAAACTACATCTAACTGCTCTCTGCAGACACTTTATGGAATAAGCATTAGGATGAAATTAAGAAGCAGAAGAACACCGAGAAAAAGAAAAAACACTTCTCAATAAAGGTAATTATTAGTGAAAGATGAATTTCCCTGATCTGGATTTATCCCAGGCAGTTCAGTCCCTCTCGCTAGAATGGCTGGTCACTTGTCAAGAGAATTGTGCAGAACACAAACACTAAACCTCCAGCACTGATTCTGTGAAAACTTGACTTTTTCTCCCTTCAAGCCTGTCAGTTGGAGAGATAATGTCCAGACAGACCTGCAAACACTTGGTGTCAAATACTGGAAAGAAAAGGCCAACCAGAGAGATGATTGGAGGCGGGTAAAATCTGCAGCAATGAACCTCAAGGGTTCGGAATGCTGAAGAAGAAGAAGTTTGTCAGCTGCAAATGAATTATCATTAATTTTTCCTCACAGGTTACTTGTGCATCCTTTACAAGACGCAGTACCAGTCCCAGCATTGTTTAGCTGTTCGTGTTTTTTTACATTCAGCAGTTTGCCACTGCTTTCTAAAAGGCCAGCTCTCATATACCACCATCAAACCAGGCATGTCAGAATCACAAACTACGTTTTGCGATGCCTAAGCCACAGACAGCGACTCTTTTAAAAACTGACTGTCTTTTCCACACACACACACACAAAAAGAAGGTCAGTACTTACAGAAATGGAAACACCAACAGTGGTAAGCTGTAAAGCAACCTCAGCTGCCATGTGTCTGGGAAATACACGCAGAAGAAGATGACAGCTGCGAACACGTAGACAACAATTGAATAAATTAACAGGCTTGTCACAATATGTTTCTGCCGATCTTGGTTGACTTTACGGTTCCTCTGGAGTCGACTGATTTCCTGCAATTGAGAAATAACACAATTTTATTTGGTGTAATCCTACGTACTGAGCTACCAAGGAAGTTTTACAAAAGTGCCAAGGCAAGGATACTAAAAGAGATAAACATTACCACATTACAAATTTCTGAAAACAAAGTCTTACCACGAATCTATCTTCTTCTTCTCTTCCACCTTGTACCTCAGTAAAGTGTCCGGGGGAAGATGAAACAATCGTTGATGAGCTCTGTCAAGAGCACTTTTAAGACTGATGTTCATTTCTGTAAGGCTGTTCTTAATGCCATCACTCCATCTTTTCCGAGGTCTACGCTTGCTCTATACCCGTTGTAACATTTCAGTGTGGCTCGCTGTGGCAGATAGTACCAGGGTATTCTTGTTAGGTGTACAAACCACTTCATTTGTTGTTCTTTGATGCCTGTAAAACTGGCTATATTCCTAGCATTCGTCTGATTTTGTATTCTGTCTTTCTTTGAAACTCCTGCAGGTCTTCTAAGGCATTTCATCTCTGTTGTCCAATTTTACATTCATCAGAGGGTGTAAATGTCCACGTTTGGCACTGACAGCATAATATCTTTGGATTTATCAAAGGTGCAAAACAGTGGAAAATGGAGAGAGAAATGCATCGCTGAAATTCATAATCTGTTTAAATCATCACTGATCACTGGCATTATGAGGGCTAAAAGACTGAAATGGCTGGGGCATATTGAGTGCCAGATGACAGGGAGATTAAAAGCTATACAACAAGGAGACCATGAGGCAGAATAAGAAGACGATGGAAAAATAATGTCGACAGACCTACAAACACTTGGTGTCACCAACTGGAAAGAGAAGGCCAACCAGAGAGATAAATGGAGGTGGGTGCTATCCTCAAGGGCTTGAATTGCTGAAGAAAAAGAATAAGAATTGCAGGGGAAGCCGTGGTTGTAACTGCCTTGTTTGCCAGATAATCTGAATGCTCTTTGCCTTGAACATCTGTATAACCTGCCACATAGATAAAGGTTAAGCGAGTTATTTGTGATTCATCTGATGAAAGAATGCATTCATGTCCAATAACGCCAGCCTGGATTTTTTTGAGCATATTCATTGAATCGCTGTTTGCACGCATGTATGAATTCTTGAGTACCCAGCCATGTCAATGCCCCTGTTGCAGCCATTATCTCCACTGTGAGGCTGCTGGTTGTAACAGCAAAGGCACTTCTCTTGTTAATGGTTTTTCCGTTTTCGCTCCTAATGAACACCCATGCACTACGCTTGACCTGGGTGACCGATCCATCTGTGTAAACCACAGCATCGCTGGCATCTGTGTTTCATCTATTAGCTTTTTGACTAAAGAATCCCCTATGCAAGGGATCTGTTCTCCTCAGCTTCTATCAAGATTGACATAGGCCGTGATACTCATGTTTAAAGAAGTTGGCAAATCCACACATTCATTTCCTAGATTAACGTCCGGAAAGCAACAAATCTGCTGAAGGGCATCCTCTGCATGACCCATCCCAGATCTGCCTCTTTTAAGCCGGTTTTGTTTTGGCTGGAACACTTCACCACAGAGCAGGTGTCACTGGTCTGATTTCAACTTGAGGACAGCGGTGGCCCTGGAAAGTTTGATTCTGTTGTTCATTGTGGGGAAAGTCCAACAGGTATGGCACCGATTGGCAGGAGGTGTCCCTATTGCAACCGAGAATAACGTTTTCAATTTGTTTCAGTCTGTTTATCTGTGCGACACTAAATGTCATGATGGCTAGTGCAGGAGAGGACTAATCCCTGGTAGAGCATCACAAGCAGCTGTGGTTCAAAGTTTGTAGTAGTTATTGCCGACAGACCTTTCTCATCATCTTCGTCTTCTTCTGTGCTCACCCTTTAAAAGGCAGCTGGCACACTGTGTTGTAATTCACAGCTAGGCTGTAATAACAGCGCCTTTCAACACCACATCTGATTTCAGCAACACATGGGTGTACTTTCTTTTCCCTTCAAAAACTGGGCTCTGGAACCATAAAAGGACCAATGGAGTATGAAATGTCAGATTTTGACAGCGATACAGAAGGACTATGCCATTACTTTAATTATACAGCAAGTCCAATAGCTGAGCTGATAACATAATAATTTACAGTACAGACTCAAATAAATTTCCAGTAAAAACACAAGAATTATCTCCTGGCATATGAAAATCAGATTTAACATACCTTGTCTATGCCTTCCAAAATTTCAATTGTGGTCTGCTTTCTCTGCAAAACAAAAACAAAATCAGAATACAATTCTACAGATCTGATGTGATAGATAACGATCCATGATTTATCTAATGTGATGTGACGGATAATGATCCATGATTTATTTAATGTTATATGATGGTTAATAATCCATGATTTATCTAATGTGATGTGATGGTTAACGATGTAATGATCCCTGATTTATCTAATGACAGAAGTTTAACCTAAGGAAGATAAACACCTGCTTAGCATTACGGGTGGAGACTATAAAAGCATTCATAAACCAGGATGGATAACCATTAATCTTATAAAACACCAGGATAAGTGAGTAATGTTAGAATTACATAAGAAAATTTATGAGGCTAACGGTGACAGAATGTGAATTCATTCTGAGTTTGGAACTGGAATGGAAAGGAAGGAAGCATGAATGTTAGTGCCTCTGAATCTATCCAAGCAGTCTGCATAATGACTGTTAGCTGTGTCGTTTGAGATGTGTGTGTGAAATGGAGCAGGCCAGCAACTGTCGACAACATCAGTTGAGTTGAGTCAAGAATTGACATCACAGCAAATCGGAGCACTCCCATGCATGCTCCGTCCTCATCTTCAACAACCAGCGCAGAGTTCCAATACTGATTGTACGGGTCACAATCTGGTTATATGTCCATCTTGCCTTTCCTCTGAGTGTAGTGAGCCGGCCAGACCCTCTGGCTACACAACTCTGTATGTATGCAGAATGTTTCTTGTATGTAGAGCTTTGTGTGTTTAAGGCATTAGCGCTGATGCTTGTCAGTTAAAACCGGAGAGGGTAACGATCAGTGACAACAGACTGAGTATGAAGCCTGGAAAAGAGTACGGTCAATGTATATACCGTTATATCAAATAATATTTGTGTAGTCTCTCACTGTTGCTGTTTAGTATTCACTGGGACAATCATAGTACTAGCCCTCTGCAGTGTTACTGAGCCACTAGAAGTACATTAAAATGTAATAATACACCCATCAGTTAAAAACAGCATCCTCTTAAAAGCTGATAAATTTTGGGCATTTCAAGCGCTATGACGCTCTGCAGAGAATAGTGGTGGAGAGTATAGGAAAACGAGGCAGAGGCTGACCTTCATGTTGTGGATACTGAATTTGCTTGGCTGTGAAAGCCCATTAGGGCTGGAGAAGTGGCTAGAGAAAGACTAAAGAGAGACTTCTAGGCATGCCGTGAAGAGAGCAACGTTCAATAAAGGACATGCTGAGTTTTCTTCTTCAAAACAGCATTTAAAATAGCAAAATACTGCCACATTTTATCAATTCCGCTAAGACTGGTCCCAAGCCTGGCTGTAAAAAGAGGAGGGTCTGGCTGAACCTGGGTGCTTTTTGCGTTTCGGAAAATAGTGTAAGTAGCATTTTAACTAGTGGGCAACCACTTACCAACAATTTTATTTTTGCAGCAACAACCTACGTTCTGTTAAAGCTTAAAATAACTTTAAGTGAAATAATTGAGTCCCTTTGTTTTAAACCAGTCACTAATTAAATTAGTACTTATTAATATTAGATTAGTACAGTACAGTGTTAGTTTCTGTAAGTATGTAACTATACTGAAATATTGGATGGGCATTTCATGAGCCCAATCCTACTTCACGATCATCAGTGGGCGACACATAAAAACTTCAGAAGCAGAGAAGCTCATTATTAAAAACGGTACGATCACAACCATATAGCATCCTGTGTTCCTCCACTGCTCCCAGTCTTACGCAACATTGGCGATTGTCACGTATGATCTGTTTGTAAACATGATTGCACGAGTCTTACCCTAAACCTTGACAGCAACACCCCCATGGCTGGTTGTCATGAGCGGTTGTGTGCAGAGTGTAGATTAAACTCCACGATATGACAGCGAAACGCGAAGACACACCAAACAGACCGAGATCTGAGAGATGTTCTCCGACTTCTCACTTTTGCTTTCTCTCACCGGAAGGTCGGCGTGGAGATTTTCGGGTTTTTGTTGGCAGTTAGGCAAATCGCCGTAAATAGTCGGTCTATTCCTTTCAAGGGGAAGCCAACGGGATGTAGCGGCTGGACGCGCACCGGACCTGGGCACTGATGGTACCGGACTTTTTCAAATACTACTACTTTGGCTTTCAGGTCTACCCAGCCTTAAAAGGGTACGAAAGTAAAGGCCGTCGGCGTGATGCTGACCACATCACTCTCCGAGTGCAGATTTGTCTTTAGAAGATAGGTCTAGCACACTATGCCAAATACGCCTGAATGTGTCTTTTACTTACTTATTATTTCTTTTCTTGGGGGTCTCCTTGGCGAAGTGGTCAAGCCGTTTGCCTCGCGTTGTTAAGGTCGCGGATTTGTTTTTCACGGGGGTGACGTTCAGTTCACGAGTGCAATATTTTCGGACATCCCTAGGGATCGTCGTCGCAGCTACGGAGGTCGTGTTCTGTGCGACGCTCTCTGCAGGCAGCTAGTTGTTCTGCGGAGAGAGACTTGAGCTATATAGGATAAAACCCGGTGCAATAAAGCCAATCCTTTCAGCTTTACCTAACTTTTCAGTGTCATGAGAGGGAAGGAAGCTGGAACCTGTTGTGACCACTGGACAGGTCTGGGGAAGAAGAGACAATGGAAGGCAGTGCGGGAGGATTCTTGACAGCTTTTTGCCATGGCATGGAAGGGTGTCAGCACACTAACTGGTACATCCTGATGAAGATCAGAGATTGTGGAGAGGCATAATTGCTCCCGCCAAGGCACCTTGAAGAAGAAAAAGAAGATTTCGTTACGTCGTCATATTTTGTGTTGTGCTTTGTTCACAGCACTAGCACAGATTATGTCCAAGTCTGTACATAATATGTACAAGAAGAGTCTGTACAACTGCAGACAAAACTTGTACAGGTGTAGACAGATCATGTACAACTATAGATAAAAGATGTGCAACTTGGACCGAACATGTACAAAAGTGGGCAGAACATGTAAAATTGCAGACAGAACATGTACAACTACCCTTTTTTCTTCTTTCGTTCGCTTGAAATAAATTATCTATATCTGAAATTTTGTCTCTAGTATGAACTTCATTGACTTGTAATTCACTCAGCGACCCTTAAAGTTTGGCTTGCACTGGTGTTTCCCTTGGCCCAAAGTAATGCCTTAATATGGCGAATTTGGCACAGTCTTAGGGGACGTTATCTGTTGTCTCAGGTGCCAGTCCACATGTACAATGCCTAACTTGCCAATCTTAAATCTTTTGTACATGTGGCTGCACAGTTGACCGTATCCTGCTCTAAGGTGTCGAATAGTGACTTGCTCTGATCTGTCCATGATATGATAATCGTCTTGTGCCAGTTTTGGCGGCTTTCTGATTGATTTAATTAGCCTCTTCTTCTGTCGATAAGAGGCGTAACATGTACAACTACAGACAGGATATGTGCAACTGTGAACATAACATTTACAGCTGTAGGTACATGTCTTCATGTACCAGGAAGGAGGGGCAGGGGCCGACCAACATGAAGATGGGCACATGAAATAAGTGACTCCTTGAAAATGAATGTACATGAGGTGGGAGAACTGGCGAGAGACCGAGTTTCTTTCAGACAGACCGTGATGGAAGCGAATTCTGCAAAGGACCTGCTATATGACAATCATGAGAAAGAACATGTACAGCTGTGGAAAGAACATGTAAAACCACAGATAGAACCTGTTCAACAGTGGAAAAAACATGCAGATTTGTGGATAAAACATGTACATCGACTGACTGAAAACTAAAGACATAGATGTACTACTGCAGTTCAGACATTTAAAAAAAAAAAAAACATTAACATTAAAATGATGGCACATGATTGTTTTAATTGCATATAATTTGAAATTATCATTAAAAACACATTTTGAAAAACAGACTTCAGAATAGCATTGTAAAACATAAATTCTAACATTGTGTGATGTGTAAAAATCCATATTTGTATAATTAAAGAACTATACATTTGTAACTAAACATCTGTAACTCCTTCTATTTCAAGAAATCAGGTAACTGCAATTTCAACTGCATAGCAAACAGGTCACCCCATAGTGCAGAGGTTCTCAAACTGGGTGCCGCGATAGTTTAAAACAGAAATACTATAAAGGAAGCCAAGAAAAGTTTTGGATGGAGATGTATTCAGAATACAAAGCTATTGGCAAGGCTGCCTTGCATTCTCGACGTAAGCTTAAATAGAAGGGGAAAAAAGACACAAGAACATACTTTCTAGGTCAAGTGATCTGAGGGTTAAATTAACTAAACTTCCCTTAAACATACAGAAAATCATGAAGCATTCATCCAGACAGTTTCTTTGATCGCATTAAACACAATTAAACATTTAATATGCACTGTTTTTTTTTCTTCCTTACCTAAGAATTCAAACCGCTTCAAGTGTAGGTGTGCCGCGAATTTTTTTTCCTAACAAGGGTGCTGTGGCGAAAAAAGGTTTAAGAACCGCTGCCATAGTGGCACCGTTACTGTGCCAACAAAAACCGCACAGAATGTCTTTTAATGTCCCTTGCTGTAAAAAACAATTGACACTGACTGCAGTCTCAGCAAATCCAAAAGTAGAAATGCGCATTAAGTGCATAAGATAGCGGTCAGAATCGTCAACACAAGCAGTCAGCAAACACTAGAAATGGAATGGAGCTAATCGGTAGTTGCAAATACAGTTAATCGCACAAGACATCCTCATTATCATGTAGCAGGTCATTTGCAGAACGTCGCTCTCGTCACAGTCTGCCTGAAAGAAACCCGGTCTCTTGCCAGTTCTTCTGCCTCATATACTTTCATACTCAAGGAGTCACTTATATCCTGTGCCGATCTTCGTGTCGGTCGGCCCCTGCCCCTCCCTCCTGGTACCATGCCTTCTGCTATAATTTTTTTCCAATCCGTCATGATGCTTGATGTGACCAAAATATTTCAGCTTCCGATACATGATGCTGTTTATTAGCCAATCTTCCTTGATGTTCAGATCTTTTAAGATGTCAATATTTCTCCTCCTCTTTGTCCAAGATATTCTGAGAATCTTTCTATAGCATTTCAGCTCAAAAGCCCCTATTCTCTTTCTTAAGGACTGAGAGATAGTCCACCACTCACATCCGTATGTAGCCACAGGGAAGATGCATGCTCTCAAAATTCTAATTTTTATCTCTTTGCTGGTGCTTAACCATAGACTTTTAAGGTTGTTCAATCTTTGCATTGCTATGGCCATCCTCCTTTTAATTTCTGTCGAACAGTCTTCATTGTTGTTTATTATAGAGCCTAAATATTCAAATTTTTGACATTTTCAATTTCTTCATCATTTATTTTCATTTTTAGGTGACAGCCACTTTTATCGCACAAGACACCAAAGTTAATTCTATATCAAGACTAGAGCAGAGGTTCTGGAAGTTATTTAACACTGAAGGGCAAACATGCGCAAACATTTAATCAGGTTGCAGCTGTTACAATTAACATGTTAACTCTGCACTGGCTACTGAAGAAGGGGACAGAGCACATGTGGGAATGTCCTGAGTGCAGGAATGTCAGTTCTTGATCCATTCATTCATGTCAAGAACACCAGACTTTCATAGCCCTTGCTATCCCAGTGGAAAACGAACTGAACATAAAATATGACTTCTTAAGTCCTTGTCATATAGCATTCATAATCATGCATGTCCACAATATTCTGTCAACTAAAGTAAAGGACCCTTTTCTATGCCTTCAGGCGTTTTGGGCATATATGGCTAGACCTATATCTAGTGGGTGAAGTCCGGGTCTTGCCTGTCACCTTTACTTTTAACCTTTGAGCTAGTACCCATTTAAGGCTGGGTCAACCTGATTCTGTCACGTAGTAGTAGTAATTTTCACACAAAATATCTTGTTCAACCCTGCAGGGTTTTAACTGGGATATAAAATACTCGTCGAGTTCTCAGAGCACATATTAGTAATTTTGTATATCATGTAATTATTTATGTAGAACAGTTATGTAATTTGTATTATTGTTTACAACATTGCTTTATTTAAACTTTTCTGGGTTGTGATTGAGATAGAAACTGGGATTGAGATATAAATTGCACTATGAATACTTAGATAATCTTACAAACATATGTGTCATTAAAATCGTTGATTTATTATGCTCTGAGTATAAAAGTTGATTATATATATTTATTAATTCTACTTACAAATTGCCCATAAATCCCCCCCCCACCCCCCATTCGTGTCGGTAGGCCCTTCAAGAATGTGGACAGATGTGGGTATACACTTTCTTCTGCTTGTTGTTTACTTAGAACTGGTCCTACCAAGACAATGATCAGTGCTTCCAAAATTCTTTAGACTCATTTCCATAGACTCACATGCTACCCAAACATCCACATATGCAAACACACTACATATCTTTCTTTGCATTAGATCTACTGCAAACTCTTTTACTACTCCACGGATTTTTCCATTGTAAACTTTGGAAACCACTGATTAAAATTATGTATGCAATATAACTCAGCTAACAAGTGACTCTTCAAAACTTTTTTTGGCTAAACAAAAAATATATTTCGCTGCTTTTTGGCCTCTTGGCTAATGAATTTGAATTCACCTAATGAATATTTTATTTATTTGTTATTGCAAAGATATTGGTGCACTGGGCAACGATAATCAAAGACATGTGGCTGTAAAAGTCCAGAAGATATTAGAATTCTATGACATGTGATTCAAACAGGCTAAGTGACTGTACACACTTATGACAGAATAGGGAATCAATAATAATATGGTTGTAGCAGTCTTGGCTCAAGTTGAGTTGAGCTGAGTGGAAAATTGACATCACAGCACTCAGGGCATTCCCATGCGT